GAGATATTTCCAAAAAAAGCGCAAAAAACCGATTTTTGTGACCTTTGACCTTGAAATTTAATAGTTGCTTACACCCTACCATATGTAGGTTTTGAGACAACTTTTAGGGTGTCAATATACAAGTATTTACAGACTTACAGCTGGGTATCTCGAATTCCGAGATTCTTACCTAATTTAAGCTTAAATGACTGGATTATGTGGCCTATGTGCTGGTCCCATCTGAGAATGCTGTCTAAAATTATTCCAAGATATTTTATTTTCTTCCTGGGTTTAATGACTTTCGTATTGGAGATTTTGATGACATATTCTGGTAGAGAGTTGTCATAACTACTGAATAGGTTTTCTCAAAGATGATAGATAGGTAAGAGCCTGTGGTCGAACCACATTTCGATTTCATGAAGGTCATGTTCTAATTTCTGTTTCAAATCAAACCAGTTTTTGTCTTCACAAAACAACACAGTATCATCGGCAAATCTCAGAATGTTGGAGTTGATATCTTGTAGAAAAAGGTTGTTCAGGTAAATATTGAATAGAATTGGTCCTAACACCGTCCCCTGGGGCACACCACATGTAATAATTTCCTCTCCACTTATATGATTTTCCACTTTTACCCTTTGCTCTCTTTTGCGAAGATAACTTTTGAAAAGATTATTCGTTATACCTCTAATTCCCACATCGTCCAGAAGATTCAGTAAGATAGTGTGCTGGGGGTTGCAAACAGGCCACTATGAAAGAGGTTAATTCAACTCATTTCATTATATTATTTTTAATGAATTACTACAGTCCGGTTTGAATGTAGCATAAATAGGCTTGATCTGCTAGTTCCCGTATGTCTCATTTTGAAGTTTAAAAAAAACGAATGCCGTGTAGCCAGTTTACAAAAATAAATGTTAGTTGTGCAAACACTTTTTTGCATACAACATTGTTTGTTTCATATAAAAAATATTGTGGAATTAATGACTCGAAAGAAGGATTCCTCAACAATAAATTATACAGGGAAGCCCAAACGGAGGCCTCTAAAATTTGTTTATTTTGGATACCTCATGTATTTTATGCGTGTTTTGTGGTGTTCCAGTTATGAATATCACAATGATTATATGGCAATTTTCGGTGCACCGGCTTAATTTTTTATTTTGTTTCGAAGGAGCTTTTTCGGTATTTTTCATTACATAATCTTCATGAATTGAAGGGGTTATATTTTTAGGAGTGGTCAATTTTAAAATAAGTACCTAACTCTATACATGGATGTGTAGATCATGCAAAGAAGTAACTTTCAGACACAAACTGAAAAAAAGTCCTCCTGAAACACCTACTTTCATATAAACATTGAATTTCACGAAAGAAAAAAAACAAATACTTTCGTGTAATACTTTCGAAACAAATACTTCTATATGAACACTGAATTATACAAAAGATACTTTCTCTGCTCAGTTTATATTTCAAACATTCCTTGTGGAATGATGGATAGTGATTTAATTTGTGTAAATAAATATCATGTGAATGATATCTGATTTCATTCCACAACGAATGTTTGAAATACAAATTGAGTAGAGAAAAGTATCTTCTATATAATTCTTATATATAAACCTGTGGTATGGGACTTTACTTGCGTTGACACGGTCGCGGCTTCCCATCTAGCCGAAAGTTCCAAGTCTGCTGGAACTGCAGCATTGTCTGGCGAGAAATTGAAAAGGAAAAAATACCAAAATCTTGGAAACAACCATCTGTTTCATCCAGTAGCGGTTGAAACTTTTGGTGTTTATGGCCCGGAGTCTCTGTTATTCGTTCATGAACTCGGAAGGAGAATAGGCCAAGCAACGANTCAGATGATGTGGTGCTGCAGGTTTTTCCGGGTTTTCCTGCAGCTGAAAAAGCAAATGCGCCACTGGAATCAATGAAGTCGCCCCGGAGCGCCAATTAATTTTTATTGTTGTATTTATTTTATTTTTATCGTTGTTTTATTAAATAATTGATAAATTCAGTGTTCATATAAAAGTATTTGTTTCGAAAGAACTTTTTTTCTTTCGTGTAATTCAGTGTTTATATGAAAGTAGCTGTTTCAGGAGGACTTTCTTTCAGTTTGTGTATGAAAGTTACTTCTTTGCATTATCTACACATCCATGTATAAAGTTACTTATTTTCAAATTGATTACTTGCTTTTTTCTTTGGAAGATTCCCTCATCCTTTTTTTTTGTATCAAGATGGAGTAGTAGAAAGCCAAAAACTTTCTTTCTCAATAATCTTCATGAATTGTTATAATTAGTTTTCTGAAATGACACTGAAGTACGAACATTTTTATTGATATTATAAAATTCAGGTTCCAACACGGCAAAGTTAACTTTTTCGGTCAACATTGAAAATCCTAAAACATGATTCTTGGATACCTACTGCTCGTGCCTATTTTCAAACATTATCGGGATAACACCATACGAAGTCATTAGAAGGCCTTATCGATAAATCGCTCGTATAGAATGGATAGACTCATAAACACAGTAAGGGAGAGGGAAACTTAACTTCTACCGATATGAAAGAGGGCAAGAAAGGTACATTCCTAATCTTACCCAACTCGGAAATTTCCGGACCGCAATGTATTACATAATAGAATTACCAGAAAACAGATTTAAATGAAATAGAAACTAGGGAGTGATACATTTTTCTTTTAATGATAATAATAATAATCATCTTTATTTCAGAATATGTCGACAATACAATAAACATATAATGACAACATATAATGAAATGACGTCACTGAGGGTTACAAGATACAATAATCTTGCGTAAATAGAAATATAAGATGCATAAATAAAGATAATTTCAAAAATTATGATTGAAATACTCTGCAATATTATAAGGTTCCAGATGTATGAGTACCTTTTTTATTTCTCTTTTGAATTCATTGATGCTGACCAATGCTTTTATTCTATCTGGTAATTTATTGAACAATCTAATGCACATGTATTGTGGGCTATTTTCAGTTACCGTGAGTCTGTGAACAGGGTAGTTGATATTTCTAGTCCTAGTTTCATATTTGTGAGGGATGTAATTCATAATAAACAAAGATTTATCTTAAAAAAAGAACATTAAACATTCATAAATATAAATTGCATAAATGGACAATATATTGTTTGATCGGAAAATACTTCTGCATGATTCCCGATATGGCATATTTAAGATTATTCTTAACGTTCTCTTCTGAATGATAACACTTTTTCCGTATCAGAACTGCTTCCCCAAAACATGATGCCATATTTAGCAGCTAATTCAAAGTTTGCATGATACATAATTTTCATTGAACTGAAATTTAGAAATCTATTGAGAGTTCTCATGGCAAACACGACTGAATTTAGTTTCATGCATAATTTTGTTATTTGCTCAGACCAGCCCAAATATTCATTAATGTAAACACCTAAGAATTTAGTACAAGGAGCTATCTCTCTTTTCTATTTTTCATATTTATGCTTGATGGACGTTCTATATGTAGCTGTCTTGGACGAAACAGGATCGTATTAGTTTTTGATTCATTAAGAATCAATTTATTACTTTCAAACCAATGTTTGGTACCGCCAAATAGATTACTTGCATTTTGCATAAGATCAGGAAAATTATCACCTTCGCATAAAAGGTTTGTGACATCAGCATAATTTGTAATAAACTGATCTTCTTCAATACTGGTTGCACATAGATCATTCATGAAAATTATGAAAAATATTGGACCGATAATACTACCCTGTGGTATTCCGATATTTGATGACGATATTTCGGATTTATACATTTTTCCTTGATTCTTAATGCACACTCTTTGAGTTCGTTCAGTGAGATAAGATTTAGCCCATTTCAGAGCATTCCCTCGCAACACCATATCTCTCTAGTTTAAGCATCAACAGGTTTCTATCCAAACAATCATAAGCCTTGGAAAGGTCCAAAAACATTCCCAAGGCTAGTGACTTTTTTTCCATGAAATATAATATATTTTGAGTGAACTGAAAAATGGCCGACATTGTTGACCTTCCTTGGATATACCCATGTTGATTTTTACTAAACATGTTGCATTCATTGAAGAAGTCAATTAATTGTGTACAATATGCCAATTCAAATATTTTCGCAAAACTTGGTGGTATACTTATGGGTCTGTAATTTTTCATCACTTCCACATCACCCTTTTTGTAAATAGGTTTCACCAAGGACAGCTTCAGTTGTTTAGGAAATATCCCAAATTTCAAAGAGTTGTTTATGATATAAGCTAGAACTTCTTTTATGTAAACCATATTCTCTTTCATTAGTGAAGTAGGTATTTCATCATCTCCACTACTTTGTTTATTTAGAAAAACGCATGTGACTTATTTTTGAAATGTATTTGAAAAATACCCTCATTGTCCCCAATTTTCAAACGTTTCCCATTAGGATTGCACGCTAAAACGATAGAGCCTCATTAATTCGACATGTTTTTTTCTCAAACGATGAGACACCCTGTACGCATTGAAGAATCACAAGTCAAAACGATAGAGCCTCGTTAATCTGTCATGTTTTTCTTGAATGAGACACTTTGTACACATTGACGTCATGCTTTTTCCTTCAACGCTGCACTGAAAGCCCCGCTGTCATGTTTTTTTTTCTTCAATCCGATTTTTCATTCAATATTATTATTCTACCATTATTTTTCACACCGACGTATTTTAAGACACCCTGTAAATGTTTTTTTTCCCTAAATGATGAGTCGCCCTGTATGGCAGCCATGTTGTTTTCTTCAATCAGATTTTTCGTTCATTATTATTATTGTATCATTATTTTCCGCGCTGACGTATTTGAAACACCCCGTACATGTTTTTTTCTTGAACGATGAGACACCCTGTATGACAGCCAACTTTTTTTTCTTTAACACCCACTCCCCCCATTTCCCAACTAACACGAAAAAACGCATCTGGCGTATTTCGAAATGTCATTGCTGAATACCCCCATTGCCCCATTTTCCAACGTTTCCCCCTATTGGGATCGCACGCTAAAACGTTAGGCCCCTTCCGCACCTGGCATGTTTTTTTTTCCTTAAATGAGACACCCTGTACACATTGAAGAATCACACGTCAAAACCATAGAGCCTCGTTAAACTTTTTTTTAAATGACGTATTTTGAGACACCCTGAAAGTCAACTGATGATATGCTATGACTGTATGCTTCAACCCAATTTTGTTCCTTTAGTCTGTTAGTGAAGTTAATTTTATTCTGTTTGTTGAAAAATCTGAGACAGGTGGTGTTATCTGCTTTCATTAAATTGACTGTGAAGCCCATTATTTGTGCATTGTGATCTGAAATATGAGTTTCAACAATTTTTGTTTTATAATTATTTAGATTAGTAAAGATATTATCAATGCAGAATCAATTTATTACTTTCAAACCAATGTTTGTGTCATCAGCATAATTTGTAATAAACTGATCTTCTTCAATACTGGTTGCACATAGATCATTCATGAAAATTATGAAAAATATTGGACCGATAATACTACCCTGTGGTATTCCGATATTTGATGACGATATTTCGGATTTATACATTTTTCCTTGATTCTTAATGCACACTCTTTGAGTTCGTTCAGTGAGATAAGATTTAGCCCATTTCAGAGCATTCCCTCGCAACACCATATCTCTCTAGTTTAAGCATCAACAGGTTTCTATCCAAACAATCATAAGCCTTGGAAAGGTCCAAAAACATTCCCAAGGCTAGTGACTTTTTTTCCATGAAATATAATATATTTTGAGTGAACTGAAAAATGGCCGACATTGTTGACCTTCCTTGGATATACCCATGTTGATTTTTACTAAACATGTTGCATTCATTGAAGAAGTCAATTAATTGTGTACAATATGCCAATTCAAATATTTTCGCAAAACTTGGTGGTATACTTATGGGTCTGTAATTTTTCATCACTTCCACATCACCCTTTTTGTAAATAGGTTTCACCAAGGACAGCTTCAGTTGTTTAGGAAATATCCCAAATTTCAAAGAGTTGTTTATGATATAAGCTAGAACTTCTTTTATGTAAACCATATTCTCTTTCATTAGTGAAAATTAGGACATTTCTCGAAAGAATTAGTGAAATATCTAATCTATGTTTATACTTAAGTACTTCATCATTTATAAAATTGCTAATGAAAGAATTCCATTGCAAGTCAACTGATGATATGCTATGACTGTATGCTTCAACCCAATTTTGTTCCTTTAGTCTGTTAGTGAAGTTAATTTTATTCTGTTTGTTGAAAAAATCTGAGACAGGTGGTATTATCTGCTTTCATTAAATTGACTGTGAAGCTCATTATTTGTGCATTGTGATCTGAAATATGAGTTTCAACAATTTTTGTTTCATAATTATTTAGGTTAGTAAAGATATTATCAATGCAGCTTTTTGTAGAGTATGTTATTCTCGTGTATTCATTTATTGTTTGCTCCAGGCCAAAAGACTGAAACAGTGATAGCATATCTTCACCTGTTTTATTTATATCCTTCATTTCTATGTTAAAGTCTCCTGCTATGATAATAAATTTATTCTCTTGGATTATGGTATTAAAAATTCTTCTGCTCTGCTCATAAACACATCCACAGAAGCGCTAGGGGGTCTATAAATCGACACTATAATCAAAATACTTTTATCAAGTGAAGTTTCGATAGTCGCACACTCAAACTTTTAGGTGGCATATGAGAAACTATAACCTGGAAACAATGCTACGTGATTTGTGGTACCATCATTTGTCATATGACAGTGTATGTATCAGCTATTTATGATATGAGTGTTAAAATTAAGGTTTTATTTTGTGAGTGAAACTGTTTGGTGAACGAGCGTAGCGAGTTTTCTGCAATACTCAAATTCCAATGCCAAGCCAGTTAGTAAAAATACATTCCGGAAAATGCCTTCCACCATTGCTGAGTTTCTGAACCTCCCGGAACCAAAGAAATATACAGATCACTGTTTCAGAAGGTCTTCTGCTTCTTTGCTAGCAGAATCAGGAGCAAATATAACGGATATTAAGAAGCACGGAGGATGGAAGTCTACAGCAGTAGCTGAGGGTTACATCGGTCAATCTATTTATTATAAAAATGCTATTGCGTTCAAATATATTATAAGGCTCTTGAACAACGCAAGGTATTATATATCTGTTGTTAATAATAAAACTTCCTTGAAAATTGAATAATCATGTTTTGTTTATCGCTGTTTGGTAGAAAAAACTCGTGTTGAGAATACTTTCAACAGTATTGTTGAAAGTGCTTCTTTGTAAACATCATCTTTTAATACGCTTGACAACCATCAAAAATGTCACTTTTAATGACAGTTGTTGTCAGGATAATTTCCTAAATTTTCAAAAGAAAAAAAACACTTTGAAATGTTTTATTTACGTCTTTCTGCAGCTTTTTTCAAAGGATAATATACGTAAATTTTCATCATAAATACTAATGTTGAATAATATCCTCGTGAAAATGTTCAGTTATTTCTCCGTTTTAGTGTTCTGAAACTGCATCATATTCTACACCTCTACCAGTTTTTTAATGTCTGTATGTCGCGTCGTACGTCCCCTGGAAGTTTAAAAAGAACGATTGCGCCAAATTGTGACTGATGAGTATTTGAAACACAATTTGATTTTTTTAAGTTGGCCCATTTTCGGAAACACCATTTTTGTTTAGATTTGGTGTATGAAACAAAATCCAAGATTCAAAACTTGAACTGTCATTTGCAAAGTCAGCATATTTCATAGAAAGGTTTTTAAATGAATATTAAAATATTTCAAAAAGTATGTTTCTCTGGAACATCAAGTATGATTATCATGCTGACACATCTCATTGTATTCTTTTGTTAAAGCAATATACGATTTATTTTGTGCGAAAATATGCCTTCGGTAATTTCGTAACAAAAATATAAACATTGCTCATTTTCACAAATTTTATATTACAGTATCTACAACTTTATGGTGCGAACTGAAAGATTTTATGCCATGAATAGTAAAACAAATATTTGATTTATAAACTATTCAATCTAAATTATATGGCCTTATTATATAAATTATCTGAAATATCTCATTATTTCCCATACATTTTTGATGGACTGGGATATGTTAACATACATATAGGCTGTGCTTGTTTTTCACAATCATTGAAGGTTATGAAGTTATTTCTTGTGGCATTGCAGCCATGATAGATAGCACGTTCACATCCTTTCAGTTGGTTGTTCCAGTGATAAGCGAACTTCCAGTCGTCACAGTCTGATGTTGTTTCTAAGGGTTCATCACAATCTACAAATAAAATGATTCATCAATAGATAATAGCTTTATGATGATGTGAGCTATTCAGATTGGTATGTTCAAAGATTAAAGTAGACGGATTCCCTTAGTGTCAAACTCATGTAAATAACAATTTGTGATATTTTCAGTTGACAGTTATTTCACTTTACAATAGCTTTTTATATACAGTGTAAAAGCCAAATAGAATAAATTCATTATTTCGGTTACTGTACATATTTAAAAAGAAACCGAAACACATCAATTGTAAATAATAATTTGAAATTCTTCAACGTAAAAATGTCACCCCTACTTTCAACCCCCTTCGAATGATAGGTACAACGCCCAATTTTTTAAATGGAAAGTAAAGGTTTGTGACAGGTTTGAACGGTCTCTTCATTTTCTATTCAAAAATGTTATCGCTTTCAAGTTTATTGCAACAATTAAGATAAAATAAATTAAAATAATGTGGTTACCGAAACTTGATAAATACACTCATAACTTATTGCAATATACTCAAAAGTCATTTCATGTCGAGGTATTGATAATAACAAAGTAAACAAAAACCATAGCTATGTTCTTTTAAGATGGTATCCTTTATAAAAAACTATAAATAATTTTTGTGGCAACGTTAGTTTAAAACGCCTTTTCAATTAATTTTGTATGTTACATTAATTGTCAGTATTTTAAATCAAGTTTAAAGTTCGATAACTTCAAGTCTGACAAATGGTTAGATTAACGGAAATGCATAAAATAACAGTTTTACAAATGATTGGTTACGTAGATGAAACCCGAACACAACAGGAAGTAGCTCGTCTATTTCATGAGAAATTTCCTAATTTATCGCCCATATCTCAAGGAACAATAAGCAAAATAAAGAAGCAGCTGCCAATGCAATGGATGAACTCAAATTAGATGTGATGCTTGAGTTTGAGGAAAATCCACATACATCGAGTAGACAGGCATCCACTACATTCAATGTTAGCCATACATCGATATACTATGACAATTTTCAACTCATATACAAATTGACCTGAGAGCTAATGGCAACAATGTTAAATGTAAGAACTAAATTCTTACCGGGCTCATTTTTATCGTCTATGCATCGCCATTTGTAGATAATTGAAAAGTAAGATGATTCCATAAAATTTGCCCCCCGTAACAAGATAGCTTCTGCATATCGATAGGATGTACGAGCGAATAGGTGAACCAGTTCGTTAAATACTTTGAAACATCGGTAAACTGATCAACACTTCGCAGGTCTATTATATTTGCGAATAGAGTTGGCCCATAATTGTATTTCAAAATATATTATCATAGATTTTCATCACATTCACACTTTATTGTGAGATAATTAGTTGACCTAGTCATTAAACCCAGGTATAAATGTTCGTTAAACTCAGGTATAACTGTAATTAATTAGTTCCTAGAATATTATTAGTTTCTGGGTAGATAGTGAACACGCTTGAGAAAGCTACTGTACAGCGAAACACGTGTTGCGGATTTGTTAATCTGTTCTAGTGAAAATCTCACAATAAAGTTTTTTTCAAAATACATCAACTTTAAAATAGTTTTTGAGGTAAGTAAACAACTGACAAATAGCTGAATAATATCATTGGATTTTATTATTTTTATAGTATTAAGATGGATTCCGTAGCAGGTCCAAGTAATGTACAAATAAAGCGGTAGTTTATGTCGTTAGAAGAAAAACAGATTGTCTGTAGAGTGTACGAAAATTTAAAAAATACACTCCGTACAGTGAAAGCTGTAGCCCAGTGTTCATTTTTATTAGGAATATCCGTGTCGACAATTGAACGCATTGTACGTGAAAAAAAGGTAACTGGGATTGTGCAAGCTCCAAAAGTACATTGTCGTGGTAGAAAAAAAATTGAATTGGACGAGTACCAGAAAAATTTTGTACGCTATACCATTCATTTTTTTATTTTTTGAGAAAAAAGTGCCAACCCTCGAATCCGTTAGGACCAAAGTTATGTAAATCTGTCTTAATAGAAAGACAAGATATAGTCTCATGGCGACGGGGATATCTTCGCTCTATTAGAGAAATGCGTTCTGCTCACAAAAAGATTTATTATCTGGAAGGAACGTGAGTGAATGCTGGTCACACAGTATCTAAGATCTGGCAAGATACTACTGTAACTAGATATCGTCAAGCATTTATAGACGTATTATCGACAGGGTTACGCGGACCAACGGGTAAAGGGCAACGACTAATTGTCGCCCATATAGGTAGCGAGAGTGGCTTTTTAGACGATAGTGCACTAATTTTTTTATCCAAAAAAAAACGGGGGATTATCACGAAGACATGGGCGCCCAACGCTTTGAAGGATGGTTTAAATCCCTTCTTTTACGAGTCGAGCCAAATTCGGTAATAGTAATGGATAACGCTTCTTATCACAGCCGATTAGTAGAACAGCTGCCAACTATGACCACCAGAAAAGCAGACATGCAGAGCTAGTTAGGACAAAAAGGAATTCCATTTTCCGAAAACATGGTTAAGGCCGAGCTTATCAGTGTCATTAAACAGCATCGTGACAGATATCGCCATCATGTGGTGGATACAATAGCTCGTGCGGAAGGCATCACCATTTTGAGACTTCCTCCTTACCATTGCGAGTTAAACCCAATAGAATTAAACTGAGCTCAAATTAAGGGTTACGTAGCTCGTGAAAACGTGACATATAAAATTTCTGATGTCCAACGTTTATTAGAACTGGCAATGGAACGGATACGGAAAGAAGATTGGGCTAATGCTGGAGCCCATGTGATCAAGGAAGAAGAGAAAATGTGGAGATTGGACGGGATGGTAGACACTGTTTTCGACCAAATAATAATAGATTTAAGTGTGACTGGGGATTCCTCTTCGAACGAGTCAATGGATTCTGAAACTTCATAAGCATAACATAGGTAATTATTTTTTTGCTTTGTAGTTCTCTTTCTATATAAAAGGAACATAATACCTATTTTATAAATTTTTCTGTGTTTTTGAAGTACTGTATTAGGTATAAGAAGAAAATGTAATCAGTTTTACCAGTGACACCAGGTAGCGCCACCTACTACAATAATTTTTACGTAATTACCTATGTGTTTAAATAAATAAAAATATTATTTTGGTACGCCTCTGCAGAGTTGGTAAGAGTATTTTCCGTTGGTCACTTCAAGTGCGACGTTGCTAATGAATCACCTTCAATTGAAAATTGTTATAGTATAGTAAACATATTAAAAGAAAGTAAAATGCATCCCTATAAAATGATACCTACTCAGGAAGACGAATTTGATAGAAGAACTTATTTTTGTGAGCAAATAATGAACATGTTGTATAACAATATTATCTAATTAGATGACATTATGTTTTCTGATTAGTGTACTTTGTCTCTTAACGGTCATGCTAATCGGCAACATTGCCGCTACTGGTCAACGGAAAATCCTCACTGTATGAGAAAAGAACACACGCAATACCCTCAAAAGGTTAATATTTGAGGAGGGATTGTAGGAAACCATAACATTGGTCAATTTTTCATTGAGGGCACCTTGAATGGCGATAATTATTTGGCACTACTTGAAAATGATGTCATTCCAAGTTCAGCAAATTTATATCCAGATCCAGGAAACCCGCAAGTTTCAGTGAATACGATATGGTTTCAGCAGGATGGAGCACCGCAACATTACCAAGTTAATTTCCGGCAATACCTCCATACAACATTTCCCAATCGGTGGTTAGAGAGGCGAGGAATGATTGAATGGCCAGCGCGATCACCTGATCTTTCATCATTAGGTTTCTTTTTATGGGAATATGTAAAGAGCAATGTGTACAAAACTGAACCTTCAGATTTGAATGACTCAAAAGAACGAATAACTTTTGCGATTAGGTCGGTCACGCTTAATATGTTAAGTAATATTAGAAGACAGTTTTATTTGAGATTAGGAAGTTGCAAAGACCTTCGTGGTGGACATTTTAAGCATCTACTTCGTTAACATCCATAGTTCTTTTTCGTATTCTACATTTCATTACGTTTTGCATTACATTTTAGGTTTAGAGTGTATTTTATCAAATTTTGGTAACCACATGATTTGAATTTATTTTATCTTAATTGTTTCAATAAACTTGAAAGTGGTAACATTTTTGAATAGAGAATGAAGAGAAATTTTAAACGATATATCACCAACCTATACTTCCCATTCAAAAAATTATAATTTACATTTAACATGTTTCGGCATTTTTCACAGTATGTACAGTAACCGAAATAATGAATTTATTCCATTCGGCTTTCACACACTGCATAGTAATTTGAATCTGAATTACTTTTTTCTATTCCCTCCATTTTAAACTAATCATTACGAGTTTGACAGCAGGTAGGTTAATGCCTCATTTAGAATGCATGTGCATTCTAAATTAATAGCGGCCACTTCCCTAGGAAATTTTTAAAAAATGATCAGATCAGATATCATTTACTCTAAGAAACATGATCTCATGAATACATTCAATTGTCCAAAAGCCAAAATTTGTGAATTCTCTGTAAAATCGAAAGAAAAATCATATTTTTAGTAAATGTATTGTTCAACAGTTTGTAGGTTGGTAATGAATCTAGTTATATCCGTGTATCAACAACCATTTGTTTTAATTATGAACTGTCATTCAGTATCTCGTAAAAACTCAAAATGAATGAAAACGATCAAGAAGTTTGTGCTATCCCACCAGAAATTACCGAGCAAGCAAATATTGCAATGAATAATTTGTTGCCATCAAAGGTAAATTTTCGTTTTGAGGGCATCCGGCGATTTTGAAAAAAGAGTGTACCTACGTATTTTGATGCGTAGATTACGAATCCGCAAGAAAAAAGCGGCGCTCTCTCTTATTTACTAAGTTACGGCCCTTCAAAATTCAGAAAGGGCAACTTTTCAGTCGTCTTTTTCACAAAATAAACTATTTAAAAACACAAGCATCTATTCACTAGATCACCTTTACACCTTATTCCTCCTTCTTTGACACTTTTCACTTCAATAATGAACATTTTTTTTATAAAAAACTTAATTTAAAAACGAATGCTTCTCCTGGTGACAGACATTCTTCTATTCTTAGGTTAGTTACTAGTGACATTTCAGAAAAAAGCCGCCTACTATTTCAAATTTGTAATACACTACCAAAAACCGATTTACGATCTAAAGAATGAAGGTAAAAACATTTGAATTACTTTAGGAATATGGACTGCATCAGTCGTACCAACCATGCCATTAACTTTAAAAACGTAAAATACAGAGATATGTAACCAAACAGTACATTTTTCAACATTTTTATTGGAAAAATATTGATTATTGAAGTGAAAAGTGTCAAAGAAGGAGGAATAAGGTGTAAAGGTGACCTAGTGAATAAATGCTTGTGTTTTTAAATAGTTTATTTTGTGAAAAAGAAGGCTGAAAAGTTGCCATTTTCAGAACTTTGAAGGACCGTAACTTTGTAAATAAGGGAGAGCGCCGCTTTTTTCTTTCGAATTCGTAATTCACGGCCTAATAATAAATTAGTATCATCAGCAAAGACTGTAATTGAATTATGTGTGTTTGAATGATAACATAAATCGTTTATGTAGATAATAAATAACAAGGGACCCGCAATGCTTCCTTGGGGTATTCCTACTTTCACTGCTTCATTCTCAGATTTGTATGTTACTATTTGTTGGTGATCTATTAGGTAAGATTCAATCCATTTCAGTGAGTTTCCTCTTATATAGTTCTAGTTTTTTTTATAAATATCTCTTAAGTCAAACAGTCAAATGCCTTTGACAGATCTAAGTACATATAAGTATTTTCTTTCCATTAAGTTTGTTATATTTTGAGGAAATAGAAATATTGCACTGTTTGTTGATCTCTCTCGTAAGTATCCGTGTTGGTTATTGCTAATTATGTTACATTTATATAGAAAATTTGTATTGCTATTACACATAGATAGCTCAAATAATTTTGCAAAACTTGGTAGAATAGTTATAGGTCGATGGTTTTCCATAAGTTCAGAATCCCCCTTTTTATAAATAAGTTTCACTAGGGATAGTTTCAATCTTGAAGGGAAGACGCCAAATTTCATGGAGTTCATGGAGTTATTTATGATATATGATGTAATTCCACTTATGCTTAGTATACTCCTTTTCATCAAAAAGTGGGAATTTCATCGTACCCAACACTACCTTGCACTGACGAGTGGCCAAACAGCTCGAAACCGGTCTGAAAGTGTGTTTCAACAATTGAAAATCTATTGCGGAAGTTGTATCGCCAACAGCATATATGCAGGAATAACTTAGTGAAAAACATCATTTATCAAATCAAAATTATTGTCCAAAGTATATCATGTATAAATGAGTTTCACTATAATAACTATACATTATACATATACATTGGTTTAATGTATGTGTCATATTGAAATATGACACATACATATAATGCTAATATATACATATAATACTAATATATATACTAGTACAATACGGAATATCATTCCGTATAGTACTTCTTAATTATAATTAATTTTCAAATTCAGTTAACCAATTCCAATATTTACCTGATACTTCAAATTTTCTGAAAGGTCCATTTGAACCTAATATTTTTCGATTCAGATCTGGAACTTTTGTTGGAACGGAGATAGCACAATCAATCAAACTACACATCAACGCAAATATCACCGCTAAAGAGACAGCCATTACTTTTTACTTCGTTACTGAAACCAGCACGTTTGATTTGATAATTGAATTTGTGAATGTATCAAGACAATATTAGTAATTATATAGTCCCAACCTCTTCAAATCAAGAGATGACCTTTGTTTTCAGTTAAACTGATGCATTCAATACAAGGAATTTATATTTTGAAAATAAATAAGAAATGTTTTCATTGATATGGACTTCTACAAATATGACGTCAAATGTTTTTTGGTTGATATTTTTATCTTTATCACTTCAGTCAAAACGTATTTGTTCGATTGATTATTTATCTGTTTCTCACAAATTATGAAGTTTCCCTATAGATAGTCATGCATAGTGGGGCTTTGCAGCAAATGAAAGAGTACTATTTAAAGTTTGTCCAAGCTTTCGGAAATGTAATAAATTGTTTCCATCATCAGGGAGGCTACAAAATTGTTCGTGCAAGTAATATTAAGATATACATGGATGGTTAGACTCACAACTTTGTTCAGGATGTTTGAAACGAGGGTTATGTAAAATATTGGGCACATCGTGTTGGATCAACATTGGCACAATACATTTACAAAAATTGGGAAAGGACGTCTAATATTAGATAAAATATTTGATAAAATGCGTTATAATTTAAAATTTTTCAAAAAGAGGATAATGTCCACATGTGGAAATTTCACAAATCTTTTCTATTGGTTAATATTGACAGACAGTTGACAGGAAATATGTCAGTGGTAATAGTGATAAAAGTTGTTACCAACTTCAAATTCTTTCACTGCTTCATTCTCAGATTTGTATGTTACTATTTGTTGGTGATCTATTAGGTAAGATTCAATCCATTTCAGTGAGTTTCCTCTTATATAGTTCTAGTTTTTTTTATAAATATCTCTTAAGTCAAACAGTCAAATGCCTTTGACAGATCTAAGTACATATAAGTATTTTCTTTCCATTAAGTTTGTTATATTTTGAGGAAATAGAAATATTGCACTGTTTGTTGATCTCTCTCGTAAGTATCCGTGTTGGTTATTGCTAATTATGTTACATTTATATAGAAAATTTGTATTGCTATTACACATAGATAGCTCAAATAATTTTGCAAAACTTGGTAGAATAGTTATAGGTCGATGGTTTTCCATAAGTTCAGAATCCCCCTTTTTATAAATAGGTTT